GCCATCGCTTGTAGGTTGGAGGCCATTGCTAGTTGGAGGCCATCGCTAGTAGGTGGGAGGTTATATCGCTAGTGGGCTGAAGACCATTGCCATTAGGAAGTCGAACGAAGACTTTTCCGGAGATGAACACCGGTAACGGTCTTTTTCTGCCACACCGCATTCGCAGTCTCGAGTGGCGGCCATCTTCTAAGAAACCAGTGCACAGTCGCCCATAGTTCTCCAAACATTACCAAAGAGGTAAAGGCGCCAAGCCAGTGCAGAAGGAAATAACATGGGCCTGTTTTGGATTGCGATCAGCCAATAACAAAGAGGGTCTTGAGGTTGCCAGGGCCAACCTTTGCAAAGGCTGTTTGGATTTCTTTGGAAAGGATGCCGTCAGGAAACAAGATGGAAGAAGACTGCTCATGCTTTTTGATAGGGTGTCCTCGTGGGCAATCTCGCTTTGAAGTGTGCTGTGGGAGAGTGGTTAACCATGGATGTCCTATATCAATCCTGGTGTGTGTGTGTGATTGCACCTACGAAATCTGCCCAGTGTCAGAGTATAGCGGCTATAGCGCAAAGAAACGGACTCGGCAGTGCGCTTAACAGCCTGCTACCTAAGAAAAGATGTGGACGTGACATGCCGTGATAAACGGCATAGACAAAAAGTTCTTTAAAATTTCATGTTGTGGGATCAAGTCCGCATTTGGCCCTTGGTGCTTCACACCCAGTCCTTTGCTGTTTGCCATTCATATCACGTGTCATATCACACCTGATTTGTCAATTGCCTCACATCATTGCGCTTTCGAGCCTGTCGTTTTTTAGTGTTTGTTTGTTAACACGGCAGAAAACGATCATTCCGGTGCTGTGGAGTTCCCCTTGCCTTTGCAGCTTTTAGAACTACTATATAGCTATCTCGCAGCTCCTTTCCCAACTCTTTCCCTGCTAGTCGGGTGGAGGCCATCACTAGTAAAGTAGGTTCCTTTAAAGTCTGCTCTTTATGTTCTTTTCGGTTGGAGGCCATTAGGAAGTGTGGCGGGAGGCGTTTGGATGGACGGGCAAAAAGCCCAGTGGCTCGTGGAGGGAAGCCAGGCCGCTGTGCCGCAATGGTGAGGTGACGAGTCCCGTGCTATTCATGTTCAACACGCTTCCTCATGCAAATGAAGGGTAGTTCCTTGAGCTTGTCAACATATTTCCTTGAGCTTGACAATGGTAGGAACATCAAGGCCTTTGGTTTCATGTCAGCCCCAAAAGCAAGGTAGGCAGCCCCAGCACAGCGGTTTCAGGTTCCGGTGCAGTTCCGGAGGGATGTTGCAAAGGAGGTTGAGGAGGTCTTGTTTTTCCAAAGCATCAGGAAAAACATCGAAAAAGCAAGCGAAGTCCTGTTTTGATTTGTTTTGTCAGTGTGCTCACTTGGTTTATCGCCTTCCGGCAATCGGGCTGTGTTCGGCATTTCCACGAAAACAGAGAGATCTAAAGGGTTTCCCATCCTTTCTCTTAGGTTGGAGGCCATCACCAGTCGCTATCAGAAACCAAGAAACAAAGAAAAGGAAGGACGTTCCACCGGTTGTCATCCCGTTACCCTGACCATATCGTAAAGTTGTTCCGATCCTCCCTGGTGTGCGTTCGCCTCAGTTCATGGAAAAAGGATTTGCTACACCTCCCTGGAAGAATGATCACAGATGTTGGCAGTGCTTCTAGGTTGGAGGCCCTTGCGGTTTCCTTGACGTTTTCTGATGCCTTAGGTGGTGCTGTTTGCGCCCGAGGTGTTCCGTGTAGCTGCTGTTGCGGCGCAATTTCTGGAGCCGAGCAAAGCAGAAGGAATTTACATGTCTGAGGAGCCTTAGCTGAGAGTTTTAGTGCTGCTTCGCCGACTGTCCATCAGTGGTTGGATTCAGATGTCTGTTTGTTCTCCTGCGTCCGGAGCAAAGCAGGTCAGCCCGCCACACAATTCTTGCGAATGCGGCCAAGCTTCGGGCCAGGTCAAATCCGCAACCGCCAGCGCACCACAACCAGTCTTCAATAGCTGGCACAAGGAGGAAGAGTTGGCCAAGTTGGTCTCCTAGCTGTTTGTAGCGTCCGTCAGGGACAGGTAGGGACCCACCAAATTCGCTCAAAATTTGCCTTGCTCCAATATTGTTTGGTGCTCAGTTGCTACCTGCGCAGTCGTTTGAAGGTATTCAAGGAGGGACTTAGCGGCGTCAGTGACTTCAATTCCTTTGAATTGCATAATGCAAACCCCGGATTAATAAACCCCCCCCACGTGGAAGGTCTAGAAGGTCTGAGGTACGATTCATGAGGTCCACCTCCCCTGAATACTCAGGGAGTAGTGGTAGTGGTAGTAGTGGTAGGAGTGGTAGTCGTAGTCGTAGTCGTAGCAGTAGTAGCAGTAGCAGCAGCAGCAGCAGCACCAGCAGCAGGAGGAGGAGGAGGAGGAGTAGTAGTAGTAGTAGTAGTAGTAGTAGGAAAAATTGACCTGGTTGTGGGGGGGGGGGGTTTCTAGATGACAAGTGCACTATTAGGGGAGGAATTTAACTCCAATACTACTTTCAATTTGGATAAATTTTCGGGGCTGTGTGGGCTCGGTTTAACTAGGGGGGTTTATTAACCCTACCTTTGCATTACATGATGTACCAGTCTTCAGTGACCCTTGGTCACCCCGTAGAAGAGCATCCTCATGAGCGACCGATTGTACAGATGCCGGTCGAAGAGAGACATAGCATTCGCCTTTTCAGCTATGATCCTCACTGCCCGGGTTGACCGGTTGGTGCCAAAGTCAATCAAGACGAACCTCGTTCAAGACCTTCCACCATCGTGTGCAAGCTGGGATCGCCGATCCTCTCTGCTTGAGGCTTCAGGATACCATCCTTATAAATGACCTCCAACCTAATAGCGATGGCCTCCGACCTAGTAGCAATGACCTCCAACCTAATAGCG